GCAGCGCTCGACCTGCATCACCGCCTAAGTAGAAGGCCTACTGCAGGACTCGTCGGCGAGGGCCACCGGTGGATCTGGAGCCGAATAGGTGGGACAGCAGGCGTCGCTGCGTGTCCGTGCCTGAGGAGGAGGCACAGGGGCCTAGGCGCTGCCGGCCGTGGAGCTAGCGCCACCACCGTGGCAGACCAGCCCTACAGCGGAGCGGCCGACTAGTGGGAGAAGGGATGTACGTACTTCATCCGAGGGTGCCGTCCTTGGAGAAGGAGAAGGCGGCCTCGAGGAAGGTGGTTGCCGGTCTTGCAGTAGGAGAAGACGACCTCGAAAAGCCACACCGCCGCTTGCAAGGATGCGCTCCACAGGTGTGTAGGAACCAGAGTCAGGTCTTTTCTCCATGCGGAAAGTGGCCGTCGCCTGTTCTTGCGGAAGGGAAGGGGAATCAGGAGAAATGAACAAACTAGTATGCAAAATAACGAGTGGCAGGTGGGTAATTTCGTGTAAAGTCACGGTTCCACAGCCGGTGGAAGCACCCCTTTAGCTGTTATGAAAAATGAACTATGTGAAAGCTGCTTTTGACAGAAGAGGTTGGTCTAGCAGGCACGTTTTGGTTGGCATTTTGGCTTTTTTGAAACCCAAAGTACGTTGGAAAATCCAACCAAAGGGACCCATTGGTCATGTAGCGAACATGTGTAACTGAGCACATCATAAATCAACACATGCATATATTATTGCACTCTTTCTTGCTTCATAAGGCCAAGCATATGGTCTAGATGCATCCCAGTTTTCTCAAGGGTCCGATTCTATGACCTTAGTTAATAGAAATTCACTATTTTACTTCTCTAAAGTGGCCATCGCCACTGGTTTTCATTCTTGGTGGTGAAATTCGGCAGTGTTAATATCAAAATTATTATCACCACCGGTTGGTTATACGAACTAGCGTAATTATCAGAGAAAACAAAAAGAAGTCCCCAAGCTTCTCGAGCCCGCCAAGTCCATCGAGCAGCAGCCACCATCCTATCATGTCGTCACCACTGCCTGGAGCTCGCCCACTGCTCACCGAAGCTACCTGATCCAATAGATCTAGCTACAATGGAGTGCCCACAAAATAGATCGATGAGAGGAGATCCAAATCTTTATAGATCAAGGAGAGCTGATCGAGGAGAGGAGAGAGACTGAGAGAACCTCGTCCTCCATCGCCGCCATCATCGTCCTTGGTGTGGGGGCCGTGCCCATCGCCAGTTAGCCAAGGGATGTGCCTGCGCCGACATCTGGTCAGGAGATGCACCAGTGCTGCTAGGGCATCCGGGGGCCATGGTCGTGCCACCGTCGCATGACAGGAGAGAATGAGATAGAAGAAAGACCGAGTGTTGAGGGTTACGGGTTCGACTGGGCTTATATATTAGCTGTTTTCCTTTTGGTCAATTCTATCGGTCCGTCTCAGAGCAATTTTTGGAAGGTGCCCAAGGCCTCCCTACCTTTTGTTCACGAGTTGGAGTGAGTGACCTGAGGAGGAAGAAGGGGCTGCAGCCATTTATATGGGGAGCATTTGTAGAGGCGGCCGATGATTGAACCGCCCCTACAAATCAAAACAGTGGAGGCGTCTGGTAATAGTCGCCTCTACAAATCGACGCATTTGTAGGGGTAGCTCATATCACCAGTCGCCCCTACTGTTCCATTTGTAGGGGCGGCTGGTCTCGTGGGACCCCGGCAGGAGCACTGTAGGGGCGGCTACAGAGTGAGCCGCCCCTACAAAAGAAAGCTGCTGTTGCTACAAACTAATCTTGTAGTAGTGCCTGATCTGTATCTCAACACAAGTTCATATATAGCAACTCTAGGCCACTAGACATCAGCGCTCCTGTAAACACAGCATATGAGATAAGAGATATACTCAACTAGACATAGGGTACCCCGTATCTGAACTTGTATAAAGCTGTGTCTCATGTGTTGATCTGCATTGCAGGACCCGATCCCTCGTATACTAGGAAGATGCTAGCAACCCCCATGTGAGGAACTTGAGTGGACAAGTTATACCAGAAGGAATCCATACCAAGTGAGATATGTTTATGTGTACGAGTTCACTGTAATTTTAGTTCCTTCACTTTTGTTACATATATAACCCTTACAAGAAAATATAGGAGTAGAAAACCACAGAGTGTTTATATAATAACAAACGTGGTCAAACTGACTGGATTTTTTCCCGTGATCGTGTCTGAGCATGTTTTTCATTAAATAAGAAGAGAAAGATATAACAAAAGGTCTCAGTAAGCCTAGACTTACCACGACCAACCCGTTCCTTACTAGTCCGACAAGGATCACCCGCAAAGTTCATATCCCCTTGTATTAGAAGCCTTGACTGGATTGACTTCCCGTGTAGTGAAATATATGGGATTTTTAGGTATACAAGAATTCTAGCTCGCTTGTATATTTTATTTCAGAATAGAGACGATAGAGATACTACATAGACCACGCGCCACCTTTATATCCCAATATCATTAACAAAGCACGTAATACTGTTTCATGCAGCGTATATATTCCGTTGGTGTTAACTAGGCATTAACCGGAGCAGACAATCGGACATTAATTTTTCGACGGTTATATTAAAGAAGATGTGTTAGACGAACCATTAGTTTCTCCCTAGACATGTTTTTGAGCCAATCGATCTTGAAAAGGATTGCTTAACTGTAATTTAGGATACACTAGTAATTTTGATCCGGTCATTTACTTTGGTACAACAAACTCATTTCCCCACGTCACAAGAATTGATCGAAGGAGACGAACAGATCAGTCGCGAGTGGCTCGCGGCCGACCGTGTGCATGGGTCCCATCTTCGTGCCGCTAGCTCACCACCTGCTCCCTTCAATAACATTCTATTCTCCTTCGATAACATTTCATGAAGTAAGAGTTTCATTAAAATAATTTCTTTATTCCATAACCTTACTACATTCGACGGGTGTATAATAACAAAGACCTCTAGAAGACTACAATATATACAATAACAAAAATCTTTCAAGTACGGGATAAGCCCATACCCAGTGAAGAACACCATGCCTTCTTGAGAGAAGCCGGGGGAGAATTTCCATATACAGCAAATACCACCAAAACCCTGCAAGGCTTGGGCCGCAGAACTAGAGAGCGAGAACAAGGAGCACCTCACAAGCCTTCCTGTTGCATCTACGATAGATGATGCAGCTGGGGTGGTGCACGCCTTCTTCGCTGCTCCAAGGAGGATCGTCTTTGTGCGGGGGGAGATGATGAACCGACGCTAAATATGAGACCTGATGGATAAACCACATGTGCTTTGATGGTAATATGATCATCAGCATCCCTGGGCATCTATCGAAGTTCGACCCCCTCAATTCACAAGCATCTAGATTGCGCAGCCCTTGCTGCATCTCGATGCCGAGGAGACTTACCTGAAGATCCTTCTCCAAGCGTTGTCGCTGGAGCCGGTAGTGTTGGGGGAAGGACGCCATGGGGGTGAAGACACTCAAAGATGTTCCCTATATATGAAAACTTCAAGGATGAAGAACATGTGGTGTAAACCTAGAAGACACCAACCTTGTGCCTATTTTCATTGCCAAGCCCTGAAGATGAAGGAGGGGTGAACCGCGCTGTCATGATCCATGACCCATGCCGGTCGCGAGTGTAATAGGCGGGGAGGGGAAGATAAAGAACATCAGATAACTGGTTTGCATATCCTTATCTTTAACAGACTTAATGAGACGCAATATCTAGAAGACCAAAGACTACATCGGCATGAAGGGCTACTATCGGTGATATGGACCTAGGGAACCTCACTGGCCATGTAAGAGCCCGGTGGGCCGAGGATGGTGAAGATGAGGCCCAACCAAGACAGGGCACATCATCGGACGTGGTGGGCAAGCAACTAGACGTATGGAGCTCAGTGAGCGAAGCACATGAGGAATTCACCAATTGTATATATAGATTTCCTTGTAACAAACTAGAAAACCTTTATGTAAGCAGATCGGGACTCAGATTGTATCCCTACCTCGTAGACTACGTAAGGCGGGGTAGGGAGCCCCTGATCCGTATCTCAACACAAGTTCATATATAGCAACTCTAGGCAACTGGACATCAGCGCTCCTGTATACACAAAGCATATGAGATAAGAGATATACTCAACTGGACATAGGGTACCCAGTGTATCTGAACTTGTATAAATCTGTGTCTCATATGCTGATCTGCATTGCCGGCCAGAGCCGATCCCTCGTACACTAGGAAGATGCTAGCAACCCATGTGAGGAACTTGAGTGGACAAGTTATACCAGAAGAAATCCAACCAAGTGAGCTATGTTTGTGTGTACGAGTTCACTGTAATTTTAGTTCCTTCACTTTTGTTACATATATAACCCTTAGAAGAAAATATAGGAGTAGAAAACCAAAGAGTGTCTATATAATAACAAACATGGTCAAACTGACTGGATTTTTTTTCCCGTGATCGTGTCTGAGCATGTTTTTCATTAAATAAGAAGAGAAAGATAGAACAAAAGGTCTCAGTAAGCCTAGACTTACCACGACCAACCCGTTCCTTACTAGTCTCACAAGGATCACCCGCAAAGTTCATATCCCCTTGTATTACAAGCCTTGACTGGATTGACTTCTCGTGTAGTGAAATATAAGGGATTTTTAGGTATACAAGAATTCTAGCTCGCTTGTATATTTTATTTTAGAATAGAGACGATAGAGATACTACATAGACCACGCGCCACCTTGATATCCCAATATCATTAACAAAGCACGTAATACTATTTCGTGCAGCGTATACATTCAGTTGGCGTTAACTAGGCATTAACCGGAGCAGATAAGCGGGTGACAGGGTGCACAAGCAGGCCTGTCTTTTTCTTTCCAACCAGTCCAGCAGTCTCCCAAACGTCAACATCCTTGGGCTCCACTCCGCTCAGTAGCTTCCAATCGAAGTGGTAGAGAAGACTCGCCAGTGCAAGCTCGATGTTGGCCACTCCAAGGTTTACTCCCGGGCACATTCAGCGGTCAGACCCGAACGGGAGAAACTCATAGTCTCTCCCTTTGTAGTCTCGGTTGGTGTTCTCGAACCGCTCTGGCTTGAATTCCTCAGCATCTTCCCAGTACTTGGCGTCCCTGCAAATGGCCCAAACGTGGAGGAACACCCATGTGCCCTTAGGAATGTCGTATCCCATGACCTGGCATGTCTCACGGCATCTGCGTTGGATGAGCGGCAACGGGCAGTGCAGCCTGAGAGCTTCCTTCACCACACACTTGAGGTAGCTATGGTTTGCTCTGGCGAGATCGTCCTCGGTGATGGTGGTGGTCTTCCCCTTGAAGGCCTCCCGGACCTCGGCCTGTGCTCTGGCCATGGTAGCCGGGTACCGGATTAGCTCTGTCATGCACCAGGTCAGCGTGGTCGACGAGGTGTCGCTGCCCGCGCCAAACAATTCCTAGCAGTAGAACAAATGAACGCAGCAATCGATCATACATATGTGCACCAGCGGCACCAGATGATAATCAAGAGAATAAGACGGCGGAGGAGAAGAAATTAAGGCCCAGTGATGAGAAATTGGGAACGCGCGACTAGAGAACAGACTTTAGAACGATGTCCCAATTTGGCATTAGCCTCGGCATTTTTTTGCCGCCGAGACTAAAGGATCCTTTAGTCCCTGTTCGTAATACCAACCGGGACTAAAGGTCCCTGCCCAACGATCGTCCGAGTGGCAGGGATCTTTAGTCCCGGCTGGTATTACCAACCGGGACTAAAGGTAAACCTTTAGTCCCGGTTGGTAATACCAGCCAGGACTAAAGGTTTTAGTCCTGGTTTGGGTGATATCCCGGAAATAAATATTAATCTTTAGTCCCGGTTTGGCCACCTAACCGGGACTAATTATGCGGGCCTATACAACGGCTCATTTCTTTCTCCCCGAGCCTGAGCCATTCCATTCAAATTCACTGCCTCTGTTCTTCAGCTTGCTGTTGTTCTTGCTCTCTCCCCCTCCATTGGTGTTGCTCTTCGATTTTGAAGGTAACAAACTTAATCCTCTTATGTTTTATCAGTAGCTTATCTCATTTTGCGATGTAGATGCATGTGTAACTTTATATGTTGGACTTTATTATGATTTTATATGTCATTTTTAGCTCAAAATCACATGATGATTTGCATATATGTTTGGATAAACAAAAGTTAAATTAGTTCATCAAAATCACGCCTCGCTCGTCCTCGCTGGAGCACGCACCATCCTCGTCCCCGGCGGCTTACGTGATCTTAGAATTAATTTTTCCATGAAATGAAAAACTTAGAAAATAGTTAGAAAATTATAGAAAATCCGTACTAGTTGAACTTGTGGACCGTGATCATCTCGGCGAGCATTTTCTCTGCCGAGCGGTAACGGACGTCAAGGAGGAGCTTTGATTCTACGAGGGAGAGCGGCAACGGTCGTGGAAGACCGTGTTCTCTTCCTCGTAGAATCGGAGCTCTTCCTTGGCCAAGTACGGTGCCGTCCGGTGGAGAAATGCTCGCCGAGATGATCACGTAAGCAAGGTCAACTAGTACGGATGGTTATTTATTGAAACATGTTTTTGAGCTATGTGATTTCTATGTCATTTTTAGCTCAAAATCACATGATGATTTGCATATATGTTTGGATAAACAAAAATTAAATTAGTTTATCAAAATCACGCCTCGCTTCGTCCTCATTTGGAGCACGCGCCATCCTCGCCCCCAGTGACTTACGTGATCTTAGAATTAATTTTTCCATGAAATGAAAAACTTAGAAAATAGTTAGAAAATTGTAGAAAATCCGTACTAGTTGAACTTGCGGACCGTGATCATCTCGGCGAGCATTTTCTCTGCCGAAGCGTAGCGGACGTCAAGGAGGAGCTTGGATTCTCTGAGGGAGAGCGGCAACGGTCGTGGAAGACCGTGTTCCATTCCTCGTAGAATCGGAGCTCTTCCTTGGCCAAAACTGATGCCGTCCGGTGGAGAAATACTCACGAGATGATCACGTAAGTAAGGTCAACTAGTACGGATGGTTATATATTGAAACATGTTTTTGAGCTATGTGATTTCTATGTCATTTTAGCTCAAAATCACATGATGATTTACAATAGTAAAATCACTTGATAGTTTGGTATTTTACTATTATACATAGTACATATTTAATGGTTTAGTTAGATAAATAAATAATTTTAGTTTTGTTTAAATATATTATTTTAGAAAATGTGAAATTTACATAGTTTGCAAAAATAAGTATAGAAAGTAGATGACAATCGGTACGGGATCCTCGGCCTCTCGTTCGGTTCTTGCGAAATCGATCGAGGCCGAACTCCCTCTCATTATCTGCGGCAAGTGTGTAAGCGTAAGATTGTGATGGAGTACCGAGTCAAGAGACAGGGGACCCAACAAGGGTCGTGTTTTCTACAAGTACCCGATCATTTGAGTTTCTTACGCATTTGATTATTATGGCTAATTGACCTACTTTTCTTGAATATTTTGACTAAATATTTTTGGCTTTAATTTCAAAGGGAGGGCAATGGATGCGATGGTTGGTACTTGGGAGGAAGATTATGCTACATACGTGCAGAGTTTCGACTCTGGCGATGAGGCGTTGAGCCGATGGGAGAAGCTTATTGATATTCAACAGAAGAATGATTTGTCTGTTTTAGTTGCGTACGATCACGAAATAATTATGTTACTGAAGTGCATTGTAGTTTTAGTTTATTTAGTGATAGTTGAGATTGCTTACGTTGTAGCCAGGCTTAGTTAATTAATCAACCGTGTGTGTGTCATCTATGTTGTGTAATAAAATACTTAATTATGTTCAAGGTTTTCATAATTTGTCGTGTAATACAGATTATGTCATGCCATTGGATGTACAATGCCGATCGCCGCTCCCAAGACTTTATTGAGGGCTTGCACTATTTCTTAGGTGTGGCCGAGGCAAATAAGCGGGATAGTTTCATATGTTGTCCATGTGCCCTATGTAAGAATTTAAAGGAATATTCAAGTTCAATGAGTCTTCATTCACATTTGCTTAAGTCAGGTTTCATGTCAAACTATATATGTTGGACTAAGCATGGAGAAAGCGGGGTCATGATGGTAGAAGGTGAAGGAGAAGATTTAGACATTGATGACATTATTGCTCAGTATGGTGCCTTTGATGATACTACAATGGGGGAGATGAAGAAGAGGTAGCGGTAGAAGATGATCTCGGTGATGCTCTTGGCGATGCCATTCGTGATGCACAACAAGAATGGGAAAGTGAAAAGAGAAAGTTAAGTTCGAAAGCGCATGCTTGAGGATCATAGGAAGTTGCTATACCCGACGGTCGAAGAGGGGCAAAAAAGCTGGGTACAACAATGGAATTGCTACAGTGGAAGGCAAAGAATGGTGTATCGGACAAGGCATTTGGGAATTTATTGAACCTCATAAAGAAGATGCTTCCGAAGCCAAATGAATTGCCCACCACTACGTCGGAAGCAAAAAAGGTTGTTGCCCTTTGGGATTAAAAATCCAGAAGATACATGCATGTCCTAATGACTGCATCCTCTACCATGGCGATGAATACGAGAATTTGGATGAATGCCCGGTATGTAAAGCATCGCGGTATAAGATCAGGCGCGATGATACTGGTGACGTCAAGGGTGAACAACGTCCTAGAAAGAAAATCCCTACCAAGGTTATGTGGTATGCTCCTATAATACCACGCTTAAAACGTTTGTTCAGAAATAAAGACCATGCAAAGTTGTTGCGATGGTATAAAGAAGACCGTAAGGTAGACAATATCTTTGAGACACCCAAATTGGGGGTTCCAATGGAGAGCAATAGATGTGGAATTTCGAGTTTGCAAATGAGGCTAGAAACTTAAGGTTCGCCTTAAAATGCAGATGGTATGAATCATTTTGGAGAGCGAGCACTAGTCATAGCACTTGGCGGCCATACTCTATGTATCTACAACCTTCCTCCATGGTTATGCATGAAGCGAAGTTCATTATGATGCCGATCCTCATCCAAGGTCCGAGGCAACTTTGCAACGATACCGATGTTTATCTGAAGCCATTAGTTGAAGAACTTCTAGTTTTATGGAACAAACCAGGTGTACGTGTCTGGGATGAGTACAAACAAGAACACTTTGACCTACGAGCAATGTTGTTTGTAACAATCAATGATTGGCCTGCTTTAAGTAATCTTTCAGGTCAGACAAACAAAGGATATAATGCATGCACACATTGTTTTGATGACCTTGACAGTATATATTTAAAAAGATGTCGAAAGGTCGTGTACCTTGGCCATCGTCGATTCCTTCCTTTGAACCACCAAGTAAGAAAGAAAGGGAAGCATTTTAAAGGTAAGCCAGACCACCGGAAGAAGCCTCATAACCAAACCGGGGAAGATGTACTCGCAATGGTCAAGGATGTGAAAGTAGTATTTGGAAAGGGACAAGGCAGTGAATCTATTCCCAAAGATGGTAAGGGACACGCACCCATGTGGAAGAAGAAGTCCATCTTTTGGGAGCTACCCTATTGGCAAGTCCTAGAGGTCCGCAACGCAATCGACGTGATGCACCTGACAAAGAATCTTTGTGTGAACCTGTTAGGATTCATGGGTGTGTACGGGAAGCCAAAGGATTCACTTGAAGCACGCCAGGACTTGCAGGGCATGAAAGAACGAGACAACCTTCATCCAGAGAAGACAGATGATGGACGTCATTACTTAAGTCCTGCTAGCTACACGCTTAGCAAAGAAGAGATGGACAGCATGTTCGAATGTCTAAGCAGCATCAAGGTCCCATCGGGATTCTCCTCCAATATAAAGGGTATAATAAATATACCAGATAAGAAATTCCTAAACTTAAAGTCCCACGACTGCCACATGCTTATGACACAATTGCTTTCAGTTGCTTTAAGAGGAATTCTACCTCCACATGTACGTCTAGCCACCGTGAAGCTATGTGCATTCCTCAATGCAATTTCTCAGAAGGCAATCAATCCAGTGGAACTAGCTACTCTACAGAATGATGCGGTTCAATGTCTTGTCAGCTTTGAGTTGGTGTTCCCTCCATCCTTCTTTAATATCATGACACACCTTCTAGTTCATTTGGTGAAGAAGATTAGTATTCTTGGACCTGTGTTCTTACATAACATGTTCCCCTTCGAGAGGTTTATGGGAGTCTTGAAGAAATATGTGAAAGTCCATTCTAAGCCTGAAGGAAGCATCGCCCAGGGCTATGGAACAGAGGAGGTCATTGAGTTCTGTGTTGACTTTATTCCTGACCTTGCCCCGATTGGCGTTCCCGAATCACGACACGAGGGGAGACTCAGTGGTAAAGGAACTTTAGGGAAGAAAACATATATCGGCATGGAAGACGATTATTTCAATAAAGCACACTACACAGTTCTACAGAACTCGTCATTGGTGCATCCGTACATCGAGATACATAAGGAGTTC